AGCGAATAGCACTCGAGAATCCGAATGACTCAACTGTCACTCCGCCCTTTCGAGCGGAATTTCGTGCTCTCAGAAATTTAGGGGACAACTTCAATATCCCGCGAACTTGTCGGGTTCTTATTACGGATCGTCGCATATCATGAGTAGCCCTAAAAGCCCTACGATAAATAACGTGATGCTTTGGCTAGACGAGTTTATCGCGCGTCGCCGTGAGCAGCTCCGAAAAAGCCTGTGAAATAGCGTCAGGCTATGACTAGACCCTTCCTAGAACGAGTCCCGATAATATATTAGGGGTAGAGCCCGTTATCGATCCCGGTTTGACCTGAGAGAAACGGCACATTCCCGACCCTCCTGCGCGTCCTGCTCTCCTAGAGTTCCTTCTAATAACGAGCGATGCGTTTGATAGGAATCCCGGATACGAGCCGGTTGGCTTCTCGACGCGATCTCGAACGCAACTGCGTCCCGCCAGAGGATTGTTTATCTAGCGCGCTCCGAAAATACGAAAGTGTAGAGTTTGCAGGCCCGATCTCAGTGCGATTTTGAGGGCACGCCGATGTACTGAGAAAAATTTCTTCGTTGTTAGAGCAAAAACACGCTTGCTGTTTGACGATCGTTAGGGAAACAGTGAAATTATTAGGGAATCAGTCAGTTGCGTTTTCTCTTCTTTTTTACATAACCACGTGTTAGATCGATCAAGAAGTGAATTTAACATTTTGTTATCATTTTTATCTCTTAAGCTATTTTTTATTTCTTGTTTCTTAAATTGAGATTATTTAGTCTTAAGTTGAGATTATTTCTTCTCATAAATAATGTCAGTTTTACAGTCATATTATAGAGAATCAGCAAATTATTTCTCATCATTTTCCATTCTAACAAATATACATTGCCTGAAATACAAATCATCCCAGATAGCACAAAGAATTAAAAAATAATTCAGTCGTATGTCACTAACAGACGATGACAGATATCCAAAAATTTTAACGTTTTGTCATTTTCGTCGCATTTATTGTCACTTCCCAGATAGCACAGAGAATTTAAAAAGAATTCAGTCGTATGTCACTAATTCTGAGTTAATTTTTAGATACAAAAAGAATTCTTTTCACTGAACTGAACTCTGAAGAATTCTTTCTGCACTTGAAAATGAAAACTCAGAATTGGAGACATACGACTGAATTCTTTTTTAATTATCTGTGCTATCTGGAATATTTATTTTCGTCTGCTTAGTATGAATTAGTCGAGTTTCCATTACAGAAGTGTTGCTCAGAGCAGCAAACTGTTTGTTGCTGACACCGATATTTCGTTAAGTTAGCAAGACTTTTTCTCCCAGCGTGCCGCGCACGGAAGAGAACTGAGACAATTTCTCAGCGTTACGTTATTGATAGCTTCGCAAAGGACAATAGCCTCGCGCTTTCGCTCATTACGTGCTTCGCCATGTTGCGTCGCGATCGGTCGAGTTAAATTGCAAGCGCAGTAATTTCCAGTAATCGAGGTGACCTTGTCGTCAACCCTCCGACACGCCCTTTGCTCGGAAGGGAGCGTTTCCCGACTTTCGTGAAGAGGCACTTTTCCCCGGGCCTGCGATCGAAAGTGCGCGGCGCGCCGCTGACCCTTGACCCTGCCTGAAAACGACCGAATAAAAAAAGGCAGCGAAGTCCGATCGATAGAAATTTCTCGAGAAACGATTATCGTCGCAGATAATGCCGCGCTGCGGGCGCACGCGCCTTCGTTCACCGCGAAGTATGTTAATTGGCGTGCCGACAATGCGGAACAGGTGATTCGGTTATGTATAGCGGCCGATAGATGCAGAAGAGAAGAAGGGAAAAGGCTTCATTACGTAAAGCGAATCGCCGTGCCGTTGAACGTCGATGACTTCCCACGAAGACTTCTTCGGAAGGAAGTGTGTACTGAGAAAAGAAGTTTTGCTAATTCAACAAAATACCCGCGACAAACGGTCTATTGATGTGCGACAGCAAATGATCCCGTAGTGAGGACAAGTGATTCGTTACTTTCAACTTGCCGTTCTGGGCGGCGCTTCTGTAAATGGAGATATAACTAATCTGAGTAGACGCGATAACATATGTGATTGATATCTCAGGCAGCGTAAAAAAAGTTAAATGATGAGGGATATAATTCGCAACAGTAACTGTTCGATCTGTTTTCCTAATAATCATTAAACAACAAACATGCTTTTGTTCTGATAACCTGATAACTGATTGTTATCTTACAAGTAAATCTACTCAAGTATTACACTCCGATTTTGATAAACTTTTAACATGCTGTAGTCTAGGTCTAAATAAGTGTCACATATTTTTTTATACATGCCCATACGGCCTGTAAGAGGGTGAAATACCCTCTTGAAAAAAATCGGTTTTAACATTTCTGAACGAATATTATCGGAATAGTAAATAATATAAAAAAAGTTTCAAATAAAAGTTTTATGGGTTTTAATGAGTTTTATAACAATGCACTCAGAGTTTTCGAAAATATCATATTTTTCGAAATCCTTTTTTCCCTTCTTAATTTTGTAAAATTTGAGTGCATTGTTACAAAGCTCATTAAAACCTATAAAACTTTTATTTAAAACTTTTTTTTTGTATTATTTACCGTTCCGATAATATTCGCTTAGAAATATTAAAACCGATTTTTTTCAAGAGGGCGTTTCACCCTCGTATAAAACAATACGTGTCTTATTTAGACTTAGACTACAGCATGTTAAAAGCTTATCAAAATCGGAATGTGACACTTTGGTAGGTTTACTTGTGAGTGCGTTTACGATGTGAAAAGCGGGTTGTTTTTGTGTGTGAAAAAATAATTCGAGCGCGAGGAACGAATTTTTCTCTTCCTCTCTTTAGATATGAAGTTCTCTGGAGAGAATCTCGAACGTATGAAGATATATATATATCGAAACTACCGACCACACCGTGAGATCGCGACTCGTAAGAACGCGAATCGACGCACGGTCGTGTACACACACGGTTGGCAGTGCGTTAGCGTTATTTATACGCATTTAACGTATTAAACTTGCTCGCGTCGTTGCACAACGCCTTGCGTAACAAAAGAGCGCGCGAGATTGTGAATGCATGCGATCTTTCTTCGGCGATCTCCAATTCGGCATTTCGATATCTGTCTTGACTTTATGGAGTCAACGAGGCATATGCAGAGAAGGGTTAGCGTGGTTTAGCCAGATTGGCGAGCGAGAGAGTGTATGTTTTAGGGTCCACACATATATATATATATACACACACACACAAGAAACTCTCTTAAAGCGACCCTGTCGAGATAAGCACGATCTCTGCGAAAGCGGCGGCACTGGAATCGAGATTTGCATGCGATGTCGCGTGCATGAATGCAATGATTTGAAGACCATTGAAAAGATTGCATGTCAAAGATCGAAAACATTTTTATTTCCTTTTCCCATAAATGATACGTGCGGTTCTTGCCCGCGATGTGTGTGTGTGTGTGTGTATGTGACAGCCACGGTTGAGACAAGCTTAACGACGACATATCGCAGAGATTATGGACCAAACTTGAAAAGGAAGACATAAATTTTTTGAATTACATGATTTATCTGCAAACTTCTTAAGAGAGTATAAGAGAGATTTGTTTTTATTCAAAAGATTTATTATTAGATTTATTCTTTTATATATAATTACACTTATTTTTAATTAAAATTCTTAAGAATTGGAGAGGAAAGTTTGTACCAATTTTTTAGTATGAAAGTGTATTCAGTTGAGTTGTTTGTTTATAAGGAATCGCAAATATAAATGCATATGCACAGGTGTGGCAGTAACACTTTGTGTAAGATGGAGTGAGAGGAGGCGTGAGGCAAGAAATAATTGAGTCGCCATTAATAGGTTAAGCAAATTTCACGCTGCGCGTCGCCTCGTGTCGCGTCGAACGCCGCATGAATGAGCCTTTCGCCGCGCGACCTCCTCGTGCCTCGTGCTCTCCTGGCAGCACTATCGATCACCGTAGATCATCGATCGTCATTATCGATGATTCCGGGAACGATCGAGAGGCGTGCGCGCACGCTGCGATCTTCGAGATCGACTCGCGCTCCAGTTCAGATGTCTCTCGGCGGTTCGTCAAGCCGTTTATTATTATGATTATTATTATTAATAGCGCACACGTGTCATTTTCCTGTCGATTAATCGCGTGCATTAAGCCACGCCGAAAGTCCATTTACGGTTGCGAAGCGAACGCGCGAGTCATTTTCGTCGAATTCATTATCTCGCGCGCATAACTCCGCAATTCTCTCACCACTAAATCTCGTCTCCATTGTTTTTATCTCCTTAAACGCACGCGCGCGCGCTTTTGTCTTCTTCTAGGTTGCATTCCAACGCATCCTCATTGAAGGAAATTTCACGGAAAATTTAGTATGTTAGTAGGAAAATAGTATGTGTAACGTGAACTATAGATTTATAGATTTTTAGCGGAATCTTCCTCAAAAAGATCGTAACTTCAGTACGTAACCTCTTCTTCTTCTTCTTCAATTTTGGCTTCTCCCCAGGCTTCTCTAAGAAATTTGCCCCAACACCAATTCTCCTGTTAAAGTACCTTCCAATTATAACGACTGATTGGTGCTGATCAGAAATCGTCGGATTTCACGAAATCATACGAGACTGTTGAAGTACGTAACCTCAGAAATACAGTGCAGAGTGCAATGTCGAACTGCGCGCTCGATTCTCTCGATAAGAGTGATCGATCGTTCAAACGCGCGATATCGAGTTTGAACTCCACGAACTCGAGGTATATTTTCAGCTCATCCTCAAAATATAGGCCGTAGGTCGTGTCTATAGTACGAGACGTGGCGCCGCGATTTTCGCGAGAAGGTTCTCGAAGTTTCCGCGACGCGTTTGGAGGTTACGCGAGAAGCTTCTAGAGCGTGCTTCTCGGCCGCCGCCGCCGCCGCCGCCGCCGCCGCCGCGCTCTCGCCCGGCGGTCACGTGGTTGCGCGCGGCACGGCGCGCGACCCACGCGCAATCGCATTTAAGTTGCTTCCGCGGCCCGCGCTACTGTCAGTTTCGCTGTCACCTGTGTCCGCGCAGGTCCGTGCGTTCGATTGAACACGCGCGAGCACGTTTTTCTCTCGCCGAGGCGTCCTTGAAAAGTACCCGGCGGAGTGAGCGAAGAGAAAGAGAGAGATAAAGAGAAACAGAGAGAAAGAGACGGAAACAGTGAGACACACACAGCAGCTCTCTTATAGTGGCGGCGCGCTTATGTAATCGCGATAGAGGCAGAGGAAGAGACGAGGAAAAGCCGAGAGAAGAACGACGTGTGAGTGTCTCAGGTTTATTGCGAGCGAGCGAGCGTGAGAGCGAGAGAGAGAGAGAGAGAGAGAGAGAGTGAGAGTGAGCGGGAGGGAGAGTGAGAGAGAGACAGAAAACAGATCGCGAGAATCCGACGGAAGTTTCCAGAAAAAATTCGCGTGCGCACGAGAAAAGCACGGGATTGCATTGCGCGCATTTGAATCGCTCTTCGAAGTCCCGCGTGCTCGGTTGTAAGCGAACGCCTCTCGACTAAAAGTACCGGAGAAAATATTTCGACGCAGAGAAAAAGATCGAGAGAAAGAGAGGGAGGGAGAAAAAAGATAGCTAGAGCGAGGGAGCGAGCGAGCGAGCGAGCGAGCGGGAGAGAGAAAGAGAGAGTTTCACGTATCCAAAAACGGACGCGGGCCAACGGGTCCAGAAAATGGACTCGCCTGTCATCGTGGACGCAGCATCCAAATTCGGACGAGGGATCGATCTGGACCGCTCGTTCCCCGTAAGTGACGTACCGTTTCTTTTTTTTATTTTTTCTCCTTTTTCCCCGATGACGATGAAACACGAGTGTGGGCGGTGCTAATTTTCGAGAAAACGCGACGGACGGATCGGAAGTCGCGTTTTAAATTTAAACGGAACACCAAAGCGCCGTTGAACGAAACATTACACGTCGCGCGGCAATTATTCCGCCTCGCTCTCGAGAATGCATGCATGCAGGCTCGCGAGTCTCGCTTTTTCGCGGAAGCGTGAGGTGAGGCGTCCCTTCCCCGCGGAAAACTCGTTTCGCCGTAGCGGACGATTACGTTGATCGCCGACGTCTCACGATTACGCCTCGCGTAGACGTCTACGTCACCGGTTACGCCGCACGCGCGTGGTTTACCTCGCAACGCACCGCTTAAGTCCCGATCAAACGAGACCGATACGGTAGCTCTCTCTCTCTTTCTCTCCCCCCCTTTCTGCCCTCCTCTCTCTCTCTCTCTCTCTCTCTCTCTCGATCTCTCTTTGTCTCTCTTCGCGTTCTGCGAACCAAGACATAATCCAGACCTTAATGCGATCGGCGCACACTGAATAGTTCTCACACATTCCGCTTTATTCGCTATACTCTCGCCGCCATAACATATCCCCTTATTCACCTCCTCCTCCTCCTCCTCTTCCTCTTCCTCCTTCTCTTCCTCCTCCGCGCATTCCGCATCGAGATCGGCGTGGAAATCAGAAATAGCATTTGCGTGGAACGAACGCGCGCCGTATTTTTGCGTTGCGGTCGCGTCGCGTCGCGCGATCAGACGCGCCGTTCGAAAATCGGGACACAGCTCGATTCCTCGATCGCCTCGAACACCTCGAGGAGTTGTTCCCCCCCGCCTGGGGATGGGGATTCGCCGGCAAAACGGCTCGACTTTGCGGAGAGGCGCGCGATAAAAATCGACTCGGTTATCGATCTTTCGAATTATCATGCGGACGTGATTACGTGAGCGTCAAACTCGCGTCGCGATGGCAGAGAAGTGACGTCACGAACGCATTTAGGCGTTTCGGAAGCGCCATTATTGCATGATCGATAATACACACTAACACGCTACGCTGAAAGGCGCGGCGTCGAATCCGCGTGACGTCATGACGTCGCAGCACGTTATCAAATGCCGCATGCGGGTGTGCTCGGCTGCCGTCCTACGATTTGATATAGAATTTCCGCGATCGACCCGCTAGGACGATCGTGAGGGATACTTACTGGCGATACTTATCGTTAATGGACATTACCGGAGAGCAATTTCGCGAAGGAGCGCGCGATAAAGATCCGAGTTGAGATAACTGTATTCAGGACTCGATGAGATTAGAATGTAATCGGGACGGCGTGACATTAACTTGTTGTTGTTGTCGACATTTTCAAGATAATTAACATTTGGATTATCCGAATATTGTTAGAAACAGGGTTGCTACACAGACCTGGAAAACCAGGAAAATCGGGAAAAGTCATGGAATTTAAATTTGTCATGGAAAACCAGTGGGACTACGTTAAAATAATAGTAATGAAATAGAAAGAAGTCTTCTGTCTATACAATCACGTGTGACAATTCGACGAATCGTTGCACGACAAACCGTTGCACGTGATTGTTTAGACAGGAAATTTTTTTCCATTTCTTCGTCTATTTTTTACATAGTTCTACCACAGGATATGCCAGGGAAAAATATAAAATAACCTGGAATTTTGTTACAATTCTTTCCTTATAATTCTTTGAAATTAAGGTAATCCTCCCTAGATTATAAGAGAAAAATACACAATCTCTAGACACTTACTAAATCTAGGATCGCTAGGGATTTTATTTTTTTACTAGGAAGTTTATTTTTTTTATTTTAACGTTAAAAGTTTATACATATAGTATAGGAATTCAAATGTTACTTAAAAAATAAGTAAGATTTTCTTAATTTATATTGAATATGTATACATCTATGCTAGTCCATGCATCATGATGTTAACAAAATAATTAACATTTATATTTTATTCAGCGTTTTTTTATTCAATCATCGTTTTCGGTCTCATAACTACATTCTTTTATATGTATCACCTAATATTCATATAATTTTTATTAACCTGAATGCGTATTTTCAGGAATATATGTTAGGAACATTATCTTACTAAGCTACCCAGACAACATAATGTCTAACATTAGTGTCAACAATAGAATTTAAAGATCACCTTGAAGATGTCTTTTAAACGATTTATGTATAAATGTCTTTAAGGCGTCTTAAAGATTATCTTTAAGATGTCTTATGTCTCGATTTTATTATGTTGTCTGGGTAAATTTGTATTGCTTTTAATAATATAACCTACTTGTTCCACAAGTAGGTTATATTATTCCCTGTTCCTAAATCTTAAAATTGAAGATTATATATTGGTCATGAAAAATTCTCTACTGTTGTCTGGGAAACATTGAAGAGGGAATTTAAAAATTGATTTTCTGTAGCAGCCCTGAGAAAGTACAGAGAGTAATGGTAAAATAACGTGATTACTTTCAGCACGCGGTATTAGCGCGAAACACGCCTTTAACACATCGCAATGACGTTTCTCGGGCTCCTTCTGGAACGCGACGGACGTCGTTCCGCGTGCACGCGTGGGTGTATTTGCGCGTGCTCCAACAAGGCGGAGAGAAACAGAAAGAGAGAGAGAGAGAGAGAGAGAGAGAGAGAGAGAGAGAGGGAGAAACAGAGAGAAGAAAGACGGGACCGACCGATAGTTTCCCTGTATGAAATCACTCGGTGGAAATAAAAGAAACCCCCCAAAAGTCCGGACTCACACACATCTTCTCCGCGCAGCGTCGTGCACGAATGTTTTAATTACGCAAACAATAAACACTCGCACGCAAGTCGCGCGTACGTTTAATTATCGCTGGAAGTTCGACTTATCCGCCGAGTCGAAATCGAAATCTCGCAGAATTATCTTTTTTCGATTAGAATAATTATCGTCATGATCGACGCACCGAAAACAAAATACTTGAAGTTTTCTCTTGGTGATATATAAAGTTTATTCATAGAAATAAACTTAACACATTTCGCAGAAGTAGATTTCATATCTCGTAAATAAATATTTAAGTATGTGTTTTCAGCGCACAGAAACGTGACGTTTCTTAAAAAAGATTCTTCGGTTAAAAGAAGAAGATTCCCCAGAACTCGTTAACCTTTCTGAGAAGAGAGTTTGATTAATCGGGCATCATCGCTTCAATTTCATATCACGCGTATCCCAAATAAGACGGCAATTTTCGCGGACGTGCCTTTGCGCTTCTGCGCGCTAAGCAACCTCGAATTATCCGTGTTGACTGATTATCACGGACAATCCACGGGTGTACGTCATATTTCGCAGCGGTTCGTCGCGCGATTCGATCGAGTTCACCGGCGGCGCGGTGAGCAAGGGACGATTAAAATCTAAAAATTGTACCCTCGCTCTCTCACGCGCTTGGAGTCACGTCATTTTCGCGGTTGACAGGCAAAAGTCGCGGCAACGCGGTGAATTCGCGTGCCAGCGAGCGGCAACGTCGTGCCAAAAATAGGGAAATCCGATTATCAGGCGTAGGTGCGTGCAAGCGTTTACTCTCATTCCTTCTCTTTCTCTCCTTCCCTCTCTCTCCCTCTTTCTTTATTTTATTTTCATTTTCTATCTTCCCCTTTTATCAGTCTCCGAATCGTACAGCGTGCAAAATTTCACGTCATTCATCGGTATACATTTACAATACACGATCTTTCACCAGGTGCACTCGAGGGACATTATCGCGGCGTAACGTGATAAATTATCTTTCCTTCTTTCTTTCCTTCTCTCTGTCTCTCTCTCTCTCTCTCTTTCTCTCTTTCTCACGTTTCTCGCGTCGACTTTCGTGCAAAGCCACCGCCGTCGCTAAGTGGAACGACGCGTGACCTCGATTCGCCGGAGGATTCGTCACCTCGTGCTCGATTACGCGAATTTCCTCAGCGCCCTTGCAGCGCGCGCGCGCACATGCAGGTCGATCGGCGCCGATGCGATTTGAACGTACATCACGCGTGCGAAACGACGCGGCTCCTTGCGATTATAAAGGGCAGTCCAAGATTTAGCGGTCGAACTGTGCCAAAACGCGTTTCTACAAGTAGAAACTAGAGAAAAAGAGGGAGGGATACATAAATACAATTCCAAAGACTCGTGAATGCAGGGCGCTTTGTAACGAAAAGTGAAAAATGAGTCGAAGATTTTTTTGTATCCGTTATGAAATTATAACTTTATGTGTCGACATAGTGACTAATTGGATGATCTGTTGATGGACAAGGTCAAAACCTCAGGAGAGAACTTAGATGTGGTCTTTTCAATAGAATCACGTTTGCAAATGTGATGTCACGTGTATTATCAGATGATTTAAATATGAACGACTCAGATCTAATTCTAAATCTAAGTCTGTCTAATACAAGTCTCATGTGAGACAAGTAACGACTTAATTGATACGGGTCTTTGAGACGTCTCGAGCAATTAAAAATGTAATGTCATGAATATCATATGATTCAAATGAAAAACTCTGATATAACTCTGATATAAATCCAGATCTCATGTGAAACGAATTTCAAGCAAGGACTGTTAATAAATAGAGTCTAAAGGACGTTTCTAAAGCTCCTTTTGTACGTTTCATTGTCTCAAGGACTTACGTATCCTTACTTGAAATTTGTCTCACGTGAGATACTTAGACCTGAATTTCAAGATATCAGAGCTTTTCATTTAAATCATACTCATATTCGTGACATTATACACTGAGAGAAAAGACTGGTAATTATAACAAACTGCATTTAGTTATAGAAATTCGTTGAATCCTTAGTATCTAATACTAAATATCATAATAATTACCAAATATTTAATAGATCGGGAGTATGACGTAATTGCATTCACAGTAACATCAATTAAATAATTTAATAATAGTTACTTAATGTTAAATATTTAATATGAAATATATTACAGTTATGAACAGATATTTGATAATTTTTATGAAATTGTTATATCCCATATAATAAAAGATTCAGTAGGTATGAGTTCTATTTTGTTACTAGTATAAGTATGTTTTGTTGCAGCACAACGAAAAATTCATTCATTTGCAGTTATTACATCGTTTCAATATCTATTATTACAGATGGTTGGTTGAACCTACCAAAAATTTTGTAACTATTACAAAATCGCTTATTTTGCTCAACTATTCAATAAGTTTTATTTACCAAATATATTCTGGAAGCAAATAAATTTTACTTCTGTCAAATAAATAATTTATTTTACAGAATTAAATTAATTAATAAGTATTGCCATAGCTTTGGCCCGCTATATTTACGTCTACCATTTAGTAATAGTAACCAAATTTTAGTAATATTTACTAAATCCTTCTCTCAGTGTACATATGTAATTGCAGTTCAACTAAAAAACTCATTTCTCTGAGTCACAACTCTGAATTTGAATGAGGGTCTCTTGTTTGAGACGAGTTTGGAGACTTTGCAGTAATAACTATTAATACGAGCCTCAGACATACACGTGTTGTGTAAGAACTTTGCGGAATATCGCGTGAATTGCGAGACGAGAGTGCAAGAGAAGACATCTATGACTAACTTCAGTCTATCTGTATCTCTGCCACAGGGTTTCCCGTTCGACGACGACGACAACGACGGCAGCTTCGGCCGTCGCTGCGACGGCATTCGCGCCCATCTCGACGATCTCGCGTCGCGGCACCCCGAACTCGCCGAGCACCTGCTCGGTCCGCCTTGGGGCGACGCGCCCTTCCACGGATCCCTGTTACGCGGCCGCCGCCGGCGCCGCGGTTCCGGTAGCAGCGGCGGCCAGGGCTATCAAGGTCACCAAGTGGACGAAGACGCGCGTAGCCAAGCGAGCGGTAGCAGTGCCGCGAGTGGCGCGAGCGCCGTCAGCTCGCACAGCGGTGAGCCGGACTCGTCGGTGCCGACGTCGATACCGCAGTACGGGCTCCGTAACACGGTGGATATAGGTCAACAACAACGACGCGATATGGAGAACCCGGAGAAGGGCGAGCGTGGCCAGCGCTCGATGTCAGCACCGCCGGAGAATCGGCAGCAGCAATTCGATCAACAGTCGCGACAGCAGCAGCAGCAACCGCAAGGTCAGCGGTTCGTATCCCGGGTGGACATTACGCCGCAGCACAATCAGCAGCAACAGCAACGTGCCCAGTCGCCTAAGCCGCCACCGTCGTCGTCGTCGTCCTCTAGCAATGTCAGGCACATCCCTATCTTCGTGGAGGGTCGTGACGAGCCGGTGATGCCGAAGGTCACGGACGACGCATCTCCACCAACCTTCCAACGGCAGCCGTCGCCGCCGCAGTTCCACAGACCGTCGCACTTCAATGAGCACTTTTCGCGGCAGCAGTGGCCACCGTCGCACTTCCAAAACGCGTTCTATGATCAAGACTTCGAGCAGCCCATTCGACGTCACCAGCAACAATACCCGCCGCAACATCATCAGCAGCCTCAGCAGCCTCAATATTACAACCAACAGCCTCAGTATTATAACAAGCAACCGCAGCAACCCCAGTACTACAATCAGCAATACCAGCAGCCTCAGCAACCGCATAATCAACAGCAACCGCATAATCAACAGCAACAACAGCAACAGCCGCCTCCATCCCAACAACAACAACAACAGCAACCACAGCAGCAGCAGCAGCAGCAGGAAACGCCTAAACCAAAGCCGCCTCCGGTGCCAAAGGATCCTCTCGAAAAAGTCGCTCAAGTACAGAAGGAGGTGGATGATTTGGCCGAGCAGGTGCAACGTTACATCGGCGGCTCCCGGCAAGACAAGGAGTACGTTTACTTGGACGAAATGCTGACGCGTGAGCTGATCAAGCTGGACGACATTGAGACAGAAGGTAGGGAAAACGTGCGGCAGGCGCGCAAGAACGCCATCAAGAGTATACAGGACACGATCAGTCTTTTGGAGACGAAGACACCTCTCGCCGGCCAGAAGGAACAGTCATGCGGAGAAGAGGAGCGTGCGGGGAAGGATCAGCAGAAAGAGGCTCCGCAAACCGAACTCATAGAGGTAGATTCGAAGCAGCAGAAGCAAAACAACGAGCCGATTCCGCTTCCGCCGGCGCCATCGTCGCCTACAAAGGTGAGAAGATGATAAAATGAACGATGTATTAAACGCAATACTGTTATAATGTTATTTTCACATGTCATTAAATAAACAATTAAATATCAATGATATCACAACTACATATATATCAATTATGATCTTATCGTTATATAATTGTATAACAGTTTCTTTATATATTACTATTTGTTACTTATCTATATATACAATTATATATTACTATTTGTTACTTATCTATATATACAGTTTACTTATTTCACTGCTTGTTTCTCAATCTTATTAATTTGAAGTTAATTTCCTCTTCCTCGTCATTAATACAGCTTTTCCGTGTTGCAGACGAAAGTAGAATCTTCGGATAAAAAAAGTGGCGCGGCCTCCGAGCCCGCGAATCAGAGTATCACGGCCGCTAAGCAAGACACAGAACGGATCGAAGTGACTGCAGAGCAAAAAACTGAGGAGAACTGTGCGAAGGAAACCACGGAACCTGTTGTCGCTCCGACGGCGATGAACGAGTTAGTGCGTGCGGACGAAACGAGTGAGAACTCGTCGAAGCCGAGCGACGGCAAGGACGAGGAACGAAAGAACGGCGACGTGACGCAAATGGCAGGGAAAGATAACTCAACGACGACGACGACAGTTGCAGCGCAGCAGGAGTCGCAGACGGTCGAGGAGGCAAAAGAAGGAGGAAAGATGGAAGTGGACGGACAGCGGCCGAGGTTACTGAAGAAAGCGAAGAAGACGAAGAAGCAGCAGCCGATATCCGAGCAAGCGATTCCGTTGCCGCCACCGCCGCCGACGGAGAGTGCGAAGTAGAGGAACGTTAAGGTGTCGCAATCGAATACCTAAGAAACAAGAAAGAGACGTGAATAATTTAAGAGCCAGCAAACAAGAAACGGTGGGAGGAGAGAAAGAGAGAGAGAGAGAAAAGAAAAGAGAGGAAGATGTGGTGGATGGGGATAAAGGAAAGGAGAAGAATTTCGTTGAGTAACGAAAGAAACACGACGACGCAGACAATGCTCGTCAAGAGAACATTGATTTACCGAATTGCGCGCGCGCGTGAAATGAATAGACGAGTGTGCGTGTGTGTGTGTGTCTGTCTATCTGTCTATAAGGCGCCGATAGCTATTTTCTTGTTTTTTACTTTTCCTGAGACCAAGTTAAAGAAGTCTTCCGAATTACGGATACACATAAGTCGTCGTACGCTTCACGCGACGCGTAGAATAGCGAGTTCAAGCCGAGCAAACGAGAACTCTCTGAGTCGCTCGAGTGGTTGCCTTAGAACCGAGGCCTTCTTCGCAGCTTTTTTAAAAACGGTATGAAGCGCGAGAGCGGACTGTGAAGCGAACGCGCCACGGTAGTTAGTAACCGCCAATAAGTTCGTAAATAACCGGCTTTCCTCAGAGAGATAGAGAGAGACGGCCTTCGATCTGAAGTTTTGAGAGCCGCGTGTTCCGCTATTGTATTTCTTCTACTGTCACAAAGGGGAAATTTATGTTAGGAACGTGCAAGAGAACAAATTCTTCTTCTTCTTCCTCTTCTCCCACTCGTTGATAATTTCTTTCGCCGTGCTTCTAATTTATTTATATTTTTGCGAACTTGTGGACACTCGGATGTTGCGAGATGCGTCGGATTTTCGTGCAGCGGTGTGCGTCGCACGATAATTCTCTGTAATTTAAGCGCGCCGAGGAATTTCGAAACGCGCATATATAAATTCTCTTTCAACTCGCGACGTTCTCTAGCACGAATCCGTGCGACTGCGGCGGTCTGCGCACTCTGTGGAAAGAGACGCAGTTTCACATCGCTATATGGCGAAGCGTCTTATAATACTTATCGAGCACACCAAGTCGTCGCGACATCGTGTCGTGTCGCCGACAACGTTTAATCGAAATTACCGCGAAAAGTAATTGCTAATTTGTAATCACTCAAAACCGAGCAAATTCGTTCCGTCCTACACAAACACAATATGCAATCTTCATAAAGTTCAGAATGAGAGATCGGACTCGCGAAAACAAAATTGGTTTTGCCGCGTGGTTCCCGTAAGCTCTCGCATACTCACGCACGTTCAGTCGAATGACGACGGAAAGCGTCACAACGCCGGATTACGCACGATCTGCCTGGTGAGTATACGATCGCTGTACTCTGTGTGGTAGTGACGTGGAGTGACCTTCCTTCGTAACGCGTTACGATAACACGACGGTCTCGACGATATGACGATAATAAGTTAATGTTAATTTCTAATTTATTGTATGCATGCCCGAGAGATAATCGCGCGCGCGTTCGAGTATGTTTGACGCCAATTCACTGCAACGCACGCACGATCAAGTGTCACTTCCGACCAAGTACACATGTGTGCGTATGTGTATTGCGAAGTGTGTACACACTATATTAGAGTCGTGAATGTACGCGTCGAGATAACCATTCGACGAGAAGACACCATCGTCTCTCGTTTCGCCTCGTGTATATTGGCTTATATCGGTAAATAGCTCCGCTATTTCAGCCTCAGGAGGCTCGGCATGTCGGGATACGTGCGATACCGAGAAAAAGGCAGCTCGCCAAAGACCGGCCTCGACGTCGTTCGCGAAAATCTTGGGAGTCTTGGGGAAAAATCTTCATTCGCTGGATCGAAGCACGAGAGACGGACGAGCACGATGTGCATCATCCTTTGGTTCCTTGTTCATTAACCAATGATCGTTGAACTTTCATCTTTCGTTTTCTCTTATCTGTACGATGATATTTCGTTCGCGTGTAAGCGACGTCATTTTTCAGCTGGAAATTTTGTATTTTTTCTGATGCGCGCGTATATGTGTGTGTATGTGTGTGTGTGTGTGTGAGCGCGAGTGTAAGGATGTGTGTGAGAGAAAGAGTGAGAAAGATGTTCGCGTGACAAAGATAAATATATATAAATATACGGCGAAAGTGTGATTATTTTATGAGATTAATCAGTGAAAATACAAAGTCTGCTCTATCTCAGTCGCCCATTTCGCGTTTGTTATCCTTACAGTCAGCCGAACGTGATTCAGTTAACTTTACATAATTCGCTTTTGCGCACTTTTTGCGACTCGCTCGATGCGTAAGCGAGAAATTCGTTCGCCCGAGTACCAATGACCTGCTAATAACAACATCCGCCAAACGCAGCTGTCTCGTGCATTGCCAAATTCCTGGGAATTGTTTGCACTTGACGCACTCGATTTCTATCATCCGGGAATACCCGGTGGCGGCCATATGGCGACTCGGACAACTTGGATATTAGTCATTCTCTCGCGGTTTTTATTTAGGGAGGGTATATTTCCATATTTCTCGCGTGTCTCGATATTGCGCCGTATACAGTCGCGTAAAGAGAACAAGTCGGTTATGCAAATATCAGTAGGAAAATATTTTTGCGCTTGTTCTCGAATAAGAGATCACACGAATTTCTACCGACATTGTTCTTCGGGAAATGAAAAATCGAGGAAATGTAATTCCGTGGAAGAAAACTTCGTGTGTTCGTGTCGTGGGAACGATTTTGACATCAGTCACTCCTGCGACCAGAGGATTCATCTTTTTCCAAATATTTTAGAAGTCTTTGTTAAGACTGCGAATTTACAATTTACGCATACATTCGGCCGTTAATACACATACTTGTCCGCAGTACAACTTCACTCTCGCGAGAGCGTTTTGCAAATATAATTCCCCGGGAAAGTAAAGTTCAGACAAAAATCAGATATGGATTTTGTCAAGATCTGATCAGATATAATCAGATATAACGTTATATATGATTCAGATCTGTCCATATATAATTGTATATATGATTATATATGGACAGATCTGAATCATATATAACGTTACATCTGATTATATCTAATCAGATCTTGACAAAATCCATATCTGGCTTTTGTCTGGACTTTTTTTTTCCCGGGTCCACCGCGAAGACGAGAGAACATTGTCCAGATCGGCGAAGCTTTCGCCCCGAGACGACCAGGTTAGTGATTATTTATTGTTAAAGTATTTTTTATATATATGTGTGTTCTTATTTGTTCCCAAACTGCGCGTTCTAGATGCGGAGAACGAGCGGAACGCCTGTTTCGCGAGCAGCTCGCGAACTTGGCACGGCAGGAGCACGTACGTCGTGCCAAAAATAGCGTCGGCGTGGCGGTTAAGCCGTTAGAGGAGCGAACGTTTTTGCGTCGCGACGCCGCCGCCGCCGTCGTCGCGCTGTCCGGGGAAACCCGTCGAGGACGCAACGCCACGACGCGGCATGACGTTGCACGCTGCTCCGTCGACAGAGAACGAAAAGTCGAATGTTTACTATTCTCGGCTACAAAAAGAAATCTCGACAGAATGCAACAGGCTGTAACTTCCGCGGGAATAACCTTAACGAGACGATGCCGAAGGCACTTTACACGGCTCGAAGTCTTTAGTTTGCGGAGATTTTTTTCAATAATGTTTATTTGTTTTTTAAGACGTTACACGAATATGTAAATGGGGCTGCGACAACTACCAGCATTCTTAAGTCGCGATACTGTCTTGTCAATTTGTACTGCGAGAACGAAAAATTATATGCAAATATGCAGCGTTTATATCATTTGAAAGTACGAATTTTTTCCTTTAATTTGTATGTACGCGGAGCGATTTTCTTCACTGGATTGTTCAATGTTAAAGCTTGGAACATTAATTGTTCAATTAGATCATCTGAGAATTAGACGACTGTCATTTTTCATTAAAATGCGATATAACTTGGTAGAAAACAGCAAAAATATCATACGTTTGACACATCTAAATTAGACTTCGTTGTAAAATGTTTTTGGCAGCGTTCAATTATCATTTTCCAAAATTACGGTTTGTAGAGTTTTGCATGTTTTTCACAATCGAATAATAGTGTGTTTTACTACACTGAGTCGTCTTACTTGAAGAACGAAATGTAAATTTGATTTATTATTTAGTCGTATTATATCAAATATCGTATTATCTAAAATACTCGTAAAGGAAAGTGGCGGCTCGTAGCAGACATCTTGGAACTAATTTTCTTGGCAGTCAAGACTCAAATCATTTTTAGCCAAGACTCAAACCATTTTTAGCTAAGACTTAAACCTCTTTTGGCAATAAGTTTCGTCTTTGCTCCTACAAATGGCGCCAAGTACACCTTTAGCTCGCTAAAATAAGGTACTTTTCTTGGACATCGCGCTTCTTTAGACCCGTTATTAGATCCATTATTTCTCTCTCGCGACGTTCAAATTAATTTTAAAAGTCTCCGCTACGAGCCTCCACTTTCTTTAATGAGAAATCGATGTGATATAACTAAACGATGGAATCAGACATTATGTTTTCAAGTAATGCAAATCAACGACAAGTCAGACGAAACTTTATTTTAAAATTATAGTAAACGATAATAATTAACCCATTTAATTAACCGATCTATTTATATAGAGATATTTATATAAATATATATGTCATAAATATTTATCTACGAATAATTAAGAATATACGTAAAAAATGATTTTAATAAAAATGGAAAACAGCTAGTGGAACGAAATCCAAAAACTCTCGACTCACTATTCGGATAAACTAACCTCACTCTTCTATTTTTCAAAATTTACACATTTCTGCTACTCAAACACTTTCAAAGGATATAAACGCTACTTGCGTGCAATTGTTCGCTTACGGTTCCACTTGACAAGCCTTGTTAAAAATTTTGGCATTTGTTGACAGAGCTCTATTTATAGTCGCGGATGATATCTTAAGGAATTAAACAGATCTTATTCTTCGGCAAATTCTTGACAACGTATGCTTGAAGCCTGAAAATGCTTCTCGGACCATCTCATTCCTGTTACTTTTGCGAAAGTGCGCGTGTCTGTATCGCAAAATATGCAGTTTGTAAATCGCACGAAAATCACAACGACCACATCTGATCCGCAGCCAGGAGAGCAAAACACGTCGCGATTTACCCTTGCACGACTACCTGCTCGCCATCATTCACGTGACTTACATAATATGCTAAAAATATGAAAGTAGTAATAAGCCGAGCAAACGCGCACGAAACCGCGAGTCAGTCTTATTGTCGCGTGTCGAAGTGGCAAGTCGGCGATGGGCGAAAGCCATTAAAGCCGGAGGTGAGTTGTGCGAGATCGCGACTTTTAGGGTGCAACGTCAGTCCTTGATCCAAAACCATGTCGACTATCTAGGTAGAACACAAAATCATTTTGAGTCTGTGACCTCAGGGATTCGGCGATGCTCGACAGTTCTCAATAATATTTAGTTTATTCACTTTAACATTTTTGGATCCCAAACATAGCACAGGCCTGTTTAAAATGTTGGATAGAAAATGATAGAAAATTTGTCTATCATATTTTACTCACATATTTCACAATATGATTAAACTGCATAGATATTTGATGTCAAGATGATATTTTGACATCAATGGCATGAAATTGTCATGAAAATGGTATCGTTTGACGTCAAAATGATATCATTTTTATATCATTTGACGTCATTTTGACTTTTATATGACTTTGTGTTCTACCTGGGTAATAATTCGCCAAATAATTCACGAATAACCTGTACTCGGGCGCGACATAGTCGCTCTTGGATGGATAACTATCGGAGCCACACAAGGAGCATACATATATATCAATCGTTACGTATGAGCATAATTTTCTCGAGGCGATAAATAAACGCAGTTCATTTGCGTTTGCGTTCGACAAACGATCGTATTTTTCGCAGACGAACCGATAAGGCGCGTGCAGTATTTTTATTGTTTTTCTTGTATCTCTTGTATTGGTTCGTTAAAACAAAAAACGATAAGGTCGCGGGGAAAAGGAATTCAATATCTATTTGATGTCACGAGCGAGTTTGTTTAACAAGTTTGACCGTTGGAAGTTCATAGTACAGAGTCTGTGACCTCAGGGATTCGGCGATGCTCGACAGTTCTCAATAATATTTAGTTTATTCACTTTAACATTTTTGGATCCCAAACATAGCACAGGTCTGTTTAAAATGTTGGATAGAAAATGATAGAAATTTGTCTATCATATTTTACTCACATATTTCACAACTCATTTACGAAATTTCGTAAGTGAATTCATATATCATGCATATATTCTGATTATACCAACTTTCATATTCAACATGATGGAAAAGAGTAGTATCATAAAATATGATTAAACTGCATAGATATTCTTTTCATTTTTATCTAACCATTTTGTAACCATCATTATAAGTAGAATTGTTATGAAAGAATATTTTAAGTAGTTTGTAAGTATTATAAAATAATAATAAATATATAATGTGATATACACACAAAAATAATAATAAATACATAATGCGATATTTACTATGATTCAGAAATATCAATTTATTATACAAACATCACTATTCAAGATGATTGAAAAGAATAGTATCATAAAATATGATTAAAATATATAGAAAGTCTATGTTGTACGGTTTCGGTGTATAAAAAGTTGTATAAGTCAATATAGGAATTCTATCCATTTCAATCTTATCTAATTATTTTCTATCAAATATTTTAAGTAGGGAGATTTCCACAGGATATCTTAAAGATATTTTGAGAACGCTCCTAGGACATCCTCTGGAGATCTTATCTTATGTTGTTTGGAATAGTTCAACCTGGTCTGTTTCGGTGTATCTTTCTTTCGTGTTCCTTTCCCAGATAGCACAAAGGATTAAAAAAGAATTCAATCGTATGTCACTAATTCTAAATTCCATTGTCAGATACAAAAAGAATTCTTCAAAGTTCAGTTCAGTAAAAAGAATACTTTTTGCATCTAAAATGAACTCAGAATTGGTTATATACGACTGAATTCTTTTTGAATTCTCTGTATTATCTGGGTTGTTATCGTGCAAAGTGCCTCCCTCTGTAACGTCGACAATTTAAACGGGAAAAATTATTTCATGGGAAGATTGTGCACGGTACTCGAGCTTCTCGCACAAGTGAACGTATCGAACATTTTGACGAGCGTAACACACGCGATGCGCATTCAAAAGAAAATGAGCGAGCCAGGTAAGAACGGAAAATCACGATGACGTAAGAACGACAAGAGTTAGATTATAACAGCCCACTTGTCAATCATAACTCGATAATTTTCTCGTTATTTCTCGACGTCATCATGTTTCTTTGTTCTCTCTGGGGAATCGTCGAGCGTTTAAACTGTGCGATCAGCTGAACGACTGAACGTTCTATCGGAATTTAATCGGAATGAGCGAAAAAAAGATTCGTGCCGAGAGTCGTTGGTTATCGACGATCTTCGTGGCGTCATCCCGACAGAGATAAAGTCCATAAGACAAACACGCGCCTGCGTCTGGGAGACGACAGTTCTGTGACGGTCCAATATCGCGAGACTCGCACCGCAGCTTCCGCAGTCGCAGAAGGTCGCCCGTTGGTGTGGAGAGTCGTGAGTCCGACAACGATTCAGTTTGCCTGAATAATTCAACTTGTATGTTTGCGCATTCGGAACGCGACGTGCGCGTTTGAGGGAGCTGGTTACACGGCAACTTTGGTCGAGTCTTTTAATTCATTGATGGATCCATCGCATGATGCGCAAATGCAATGGATCCATCGATGAATTAAAAAACTCTCCTTTTGTCAAGTCATTCTTGCCCGGGTCTGTTCAGCGTCCCCGTTGCTTTGTGACAGAAGAGTGCTTTGAGACACCGAGGTGCTATGCACATTCATAAAGACGCGCCAGCATTTTTCTCTTACGATTAACGACATCGTCGGCGGTCCCCAGGTGGCGCGATCATTGGAGATCGAACTCCACTCTGCCGCAGTGGCGGTTCGATGGCGAATTTGCACTTTCTCCCTCTCCCTTGGTCTGCTCTTTTCAGCTGCACTGCTGAACTGGTGCAATAAGTTAGAGTGAGAAGAAATATACTTGTCTCACTTTGACTTATTGCACCAGCAGTGCAGCTGAAAAGAACAGACCACCTGCCTTCTCGCGACCGTTCTCACGCGGCCGTCGCAACGTCCGCGCCTGGTGACGTCGTGAGAGAGAGGGAAAGAGAGAGAGAGAGAGAAAGTGTGCGCGCGATTCCCGCGCCCTGATTCCCAAAATCGATCGAGAGCGATCGAACGCGAGTAGCACGAAGCGGTAAAAACGACAATCCAGGCGTGTTCGTAAACAGCAGGTGGCTAGGTGCAAGGCAGATTGTCAGGTGCTCAGTGACTAGAGAGAGAGAAAGAGAGACAAACGAACAGTGCCATCTCCAGAAGTGAGACAGACAGGCGACAGTGGTATCATCGTCAGCAAGGCGACAGCGAAGCGGATAAACGAGGAGGGTGAACGCTGATCATGTCGCACACGCGTCTGCGAAGCGCCGCGATCGCCGGCGGCTGGTCGTCGAGGACGTCGACGGCGGCGGCGAGGCAGACCGTAGGCCGCGACGGAGGTGGCGGCGGCAGCGGGGTGTTGATCGGCCGAGGAGTAGGGACAGCAGCGGCGGATAGGCGCGCCGTTGGCAGGCCGGCAGCGTCCCGCTCACCGATGCTATTGCAGCCGCTTATTCCCTGTCGCGGCATGGCTGGTGCCGGGTCCGGCAAGGTCCTCACCGGGGACAATGTGTACGAGAACCTGCGCAAGATGGAGTACGCGGTGCGGGGGCCGCTGCTCCTCAGGGCGATCGAGATCGAGAAGGAGCTGCAAAAGGTAAGGTAAGCCTCGGGAAAGGGCGCAAGGTCGGGGTGCGCGATAAAGTAGGCGAGGGGCTGGGTGGACGACGCGGCCGGTGTCAAACGCGAGGTTGCTATGGTGAAATGCCAAGTGTGGACGGTCACGGGGAAGGGTGGAGAGAGAGAGAGAGAGAGAGGTGATCGACGGGAGGACGGAAAGAGGAAAGTAATTACTAATTGAGCTGACTGGCCACTATTGTATTGGCTTGATTGAAAAAAGGGAAGTAAAATTTAACAACAGGTCGTCTCTCTCGCGCTCGCTAGAAGGCTTGTGCTGACGAGAAGAAGGAGAGACCAACTGTTCGCGATCGTTCGATATGGTATAGAACCGCGTTTTCGCTGTGATTCCCTGCGCTATCGATGTTTTATTTGTCTTGTATGTATTTTCAGACGTGAAAAGACGGTCGCGAATCGTGAACGGAGAACGATCGAGACGATCGGACAGAGAAGGAGAGAAAAAGTATTAGTACGCGATTGTGGTTTATCTCGCTTTTAAAATATTCCCAACATTACGTCAGCCTGTGGCTGTGAGATTAGAGCGGCACTAATATATTCCAGTTTCCAAGTTACATTTATGAAAAAAACGTAGAACACTGCAATTTCTTGGAGAAGTCGTAAGGTATCCGATGAAAAATTTTTCATGCAAAATTATGTATATAATTATAATTATATATATAATTATGTATAATTATATATATAATTATGTATATAATTATACATAATTATGTATAATTATATATAATCATATAAGATTATATATAATTGTACACAATTATGTATAACAATATATAATTACACATAAATCTATGCATAATTATGTAAAATTATATATGAATTTATATATATAATTATACATAATTATGTATAATTACATATATAAGTAGAATGTATGAACATGAATGGACAAATTTGATACATAATAATATATAGTTATGTATAATTATATATAATTTTAAATAATTTCATATAATTATATATGAAAAATTTTTCATTGGGTAAAAGTACCAATTGCCAGATACATACTTAATCCTGTTTTGGTCTTTAAATACGAATATTTAAACTTTTAACATAGAATGTATATACTCATTACTTGTGTATATATTTTATGTTAAAAGCTTAAATATTTGTATTTAAAGACTAAAACAAAAAGAATGTCCAGGATTAGGTACTTGTCGAGACATTAGTGCTTTTACCTTATAAAATCAAGATTTAGGGTCGGTTGTTCCAACTTTTTGGTAAACTGATGATTAAAAATCATATATCTACTTTGTTTCCTTTTCAATTTAGACAAAGACACATATATGATTTAATATATAAATATATATATATTATATATTATAATATATATATATTTTATATATAAATTCATATATAATTTTACATAATTATGCATAGATTTATGTGTAATTATATATTGTTATACATAATTGTGTACAATTATATATAATCTTATATGATTATATATAATTATACATAATTATGTATAATTATATACATAATTATATATATAATTATACATAATTATATATATAATTATAATTATATACATAATTTTGCATGAAAAATTTTTCATCGGATACCTTACGACTTCTCCAAGAAATTGCAGTGTTCTACGTTTTTTTCATAAATGTAACTTGGAAACTGGAATATATTAGTGCCGATTTAATCATCAGTCAATTTACCAAGAAGTTGGAACAAGCGGGCCTCAATCAAGGTTCATCGATTATGCATATCTCGTGCCTGCTTGCTAGATCGATATTGATAGCCTAACTAGATGCAACTGGAATAGATTTACGACTGATTGCTAGATAAATATTCGATTGATTCGCGCGATAACTTCCCATGGTCACAATGAGTTATCGAGGGATAATAAATAATATGACGCGCGATAGCATATCGGCGTACAATAATATATATCGTGCAGGTCGCATAATTGCAATCGACGAAACCAGCTGCGCATTGCGAACGTCATCGACGTCCCGTCGATTTGCCCGCGTTCGAACAACGTAACTCGCGTCAATTGCCTCGCACCAACTCATCGTTCCATATTAGCTGTTGCCGAACGCGCAACATCCCTTATCGCGTTATCATTACGTGCGCCGGAACAAAATGATATTTGCTAGAGCTGATAGAGATGAATCCACAGTCAACGGAATTAACGATAATTTCAAGTAGACTAAAATAGATAATGGATATTTTCCAGTTGCGTACACTGTGTTACATAAAATCATTTTATTAGTTGCATATTATCTTGCAAGATATTTTAGATAATATGTGACCAATAAACTGGTTTTGTGTACTAATGTGTCAAGATGTGTTAAGCAATTGGAAAAGATCCACAGACGCTAAAGCATTTCTGTGTTGTTGATACAACGACTCTTCTGCCAAAGAGACGGTATCTCGTGCCGATCATTCGTCCCTCCCCGCCCATGCTAATTACGACTTGTGGCGATCGCAATTTTTTCCCGATCGCTACGGAGATATCTCGCTCGGCGGAAATGCATCGAGAAGAGTGTGTCGGGCGCTTGTGAGACACCCTGTATCTCGAAAACGTCGAAAGTTAGGCGTTAAAAATAGGAACGTCTGTTTGAGTAAGACCAACACCCGGTATTTGCTGGAGAAAAATGAAGATGTATTTTATTTCATCGCGATGTAATTGTGTGTACATTGCCACACTCGTCATTGGATACGCTTCTTTCAGCTTCGCACACAATTGCGTAACAGTCGATGATCCGAGTAGTTCCACTGTTTGAGAACTGCTTAATCTGCAGAGAGCAAAAGTACCTCTGGTGGCGTGCTTTGTCATTCTGGAAAATTATTCAGTTCGTAGTTGTATTTTCTCATTTAACTACTTAGATTTTATTCTTGAACTTGTATGCGAAGGATACCGAACAAATTAATGTAAAGCGCGAAGATAAAATTACGTGTTACTTTTAACTTCTGTTTCTTTGAATGAACTTTTATTTCTTCAATCCACAGTGGGCTAGCAAATCTCAAAAAGTGGCCAAAAGTTTATTCCGGAGATGAGATCAGACAAATGTTTTATCGTCATCTAGATAAATTAAGCTAGTTATTTTCCAAGTTTCATTTAATTTGATCGACTGGTTTTCATTTGGCAACAAAGTTCAAAGTTAAACTTTGAATATTATATATCGTACCAGTAATTTAACGTTTACAATATTTTATTAGTATTGCAGTAAATAAGAATTTGCTTCTCATTCATCGTTATACTTAGATAAATCATTATAATAATAATCATTATTATAATAACGTGCAGAATGAAAAAATACGAAACATATAAAATGGCGGAAAAATTATACGCATATGTTTCTGAATATTTACCGCAATGTCATTCTTTGGAACAAAAATTGCGTGAAGTTGCGCTGCGTATCTTTACGTTTGAGATATCGTAGGGTTCGTTTATGTGTTTTATAAAATTAGCTGCCACCATTCATAATTTATGAGGATCTTCGCGAAATACTGCGTACACGCTTCATGTCTATGCACAATGAATCAGCAGATCTAAAAAAAATAACTAAAGACTAAAAGAAGTGCTCCCATCGCCGTGAAATTTCGTACTGTAAGTTTTCGGGATCGCTGAGTTCGAATCCAAACTTAGGATTTAGAAATTCAAAATGGTGGGCGGAAATGTTAAAAATATTCCAATCGTTGTACAACTTGATACTGGTAAATTTTCGGGGTCGCTGAATTCGAATCTGAACACAGAATTTAGAAATTCAAACTGTCGGGCAGAAATGCTAAAAATGCTTTGATTGTTATGAAAATTGGTTTTGGTAGATATTCGGGGTCGCTACATTCGAAATCCAATTCAAAACTAAAACATTCAAACTAGCAAACTCTTTTGGTCTTTTGCCATGTTGGACCTACTATTTTGGAATTCTGGAATTTTGAATTTGAATTCATATTCAGTGACTTCAAGAACTCCCAACTACCGAGTTTTACCCAAATGAAGTCACTACGGGAAAAAAGTTTAGATAAAAGCCAGATATGGATTTTGTCAAGATCTGGCTATTATTTGGCTATATAGATTTTGTCTTGATCAAATATAATCAGATATAATTCAGATATGATTCAGATCTGTCTATATATCTACTATTATATATGATTATATATGGAGAGATTTGAATCATAGCTGAATTATATTTAATTATATCTGACCTTGACAAAATTATTAGATCTTGACAAAATCCATATCTGGTTTTTATCTGAACTTTTTTTTCCCGGGTACCCAAGTAAAACAACATTATCTTCCAAACAAAGTATTCCATTTTACTATACAAAGTTAGGTCAGGATAACTTTATTTTCGGTAAAAAAAATTAGGTTTCTGTTTACTAAAAAGGTTATCTAATGTCCGCCCGAAAGATGACTTGTAATATCCAAAAAGATATTATGTAGATATAAATGTATCAAATTGGTATATGGATACAAATTAAATATATACCAAGTGATAACTGTAAGATGCGTAAATGAACTAACTATTAACCAACTGTAAATTGTTATTTAATCGATATATTTAATCATATTAATGGAGACGAATTACTGACATTGACTTGTTTTCTTATACGTTCCAAAAGTTAACTTCAAGAACGTTAACCAATAAGCAATCTGTTCTACTTGGATATTTGCATTCGGTCCACCATATTGCATCCGCCACCTTAAATCTTAAAAATATGTTATCAGGTTCGAATTCAGCGACCCCAAAAATCCTCGAGTTTCATCCAAATCAAGTTGCTTTTCGCATTTTGGCCCGTCATATTGAATCCGCCATTTTGAATTTCGAAATTTTTCTCTCTAAAAAAAGGCATATAAGAGATTTAATTGTTGCCGCTTTTTCGCGATGTTAATTGGTTCTCTCGCTTAGCTCACTTCATGTGAGCTGCGGCTTGCTTCGTGTCATTTGTGCCTGTCAAATTACCAAGCAAATAGCTGTCATCGCGTTGGTTAGCTCACGAAAAAAAAATACAGAAGAGATATGTTTTTCCCTGTCTTTCCCTGTCTCTCCTGCCTCTCCTGTCTCTCCCTGTCTCTCCACGTCTCTCCTTGTCTCTCCCCGTCTCTCCCTGTCTCTCCTTGTCTCTCCCTGTCTCTCCTTGTCTCTCCCTGTCTCTCCCTGCCTCTTCCTGTCTCTCCCTGTCTCTCCCTGCCTTTCACTATCTTTTCCTGTCTCTTCTTATAATTATTAATTAATTAAAGTATATTTTAATTTAATTTAATTTTTATTTTATTATTTTACAGTTATTATTGTTTTTTTATTAGCTATATGGCGCGCATGTATTGTTCTAGTGACATAAAAAATAGAATGAGCGATGCCGAAAAGTTTATATAAGTGTAATGATGTTATATATGTTCACATATTTCATAAGATATTAATTTTGGCCAGTTTTATACGATATTTTATAAGATATTAATTTTGGCCAGTCTCCTGGTCCACTGTGCAATCATGAGATCAATTAATATGTAAAAAGTGAAACGCTGTGTGTGCGAAATTGCATGTACGCGCGAGCGGATGTGATGTACTATTAGATTGGCCGAATTTGCGCAATGAATTAGCGCGAACACGCGAGCTCGTTATTCCCACCTCTATTTAGTGTCGTTGCGTTTCACGTGCGTTTTGTTTGACACGCGAATATCGCATCATTAAATCTTAATTATTCCTGTTGGCAGGGCGTCAAGAAACCCTTCAAAGAAGTGATCAAAGCCAATGTGGGAGATGCTCACGCGATGGGTCAGCAGCCTATCACGTTCTTGCGGCAAGTACTGACGCTGACGGTTTCCCCGAACCTCTTGACCGATCCGAGTTATCCGGAGGACGCCAAGGAGCGCGCGAGAACGGTCCTTCACGGTTGCAAAGGCGGCAGCGTGGGCTCGTATTCGGAGTCCGCCGGCATCGAGTGCATTCGCAAGCACGTCGCACAGTATATTCAGGATCGTGACGGCATCTCCTGCGACTATCACAATATCATCCTATCGAACGGAGCTTCCGACGGCATCAAGGTACGCGAATTTAACGTCTCGTTCTTCTCCTCATTGTCCGATATTCAGATTATGTGTTGGAAATTCCACCATTTTGGATTAACCAAATTTTTTCCCGTATAAGAATTGCGAATTGAAAATCGGAATGTAATCTATTGAAACCAAGAGAACCGAGATTAATAATAAATAATAGTGATTCGAATTTTAATCTCCAATTTTCTGCACAAATTTTAACTTCTAGTCCCTAATGTGGGCTTAATCGCGTGTTCGCGAGTGATCGTCTTGTTCTGTTTCTCTTTGAGGATAAGTAAAGAAAAGGCATGGAACGAAATAATCACTCATAGAGGCGAGTTAAACTACTCTACTGAAAGAATATCTTGTCCGACTCTCACGTTAAACTGCCGTTTTCTCCTTTGCAGTCATTCCTGAAGTTGTTCAACGAGAAGATCAATGGCAAACCGTCCGGTGTGCTGATCCCGATTCCGCAGTATCCTTTGTACTCCGCAACGCTCGCGGAATTCGGCCTCGCTCAGATTGGCTACTACCTCAACGAGGACAACAAGTGGTCCCTGGACATAGATGAGCTGGACCGAGCCCTGAAAGAATGCAAAGAAAAATGCAATCCTAGAGTGCTGGTGGTGATAAACCCCGGTAATCCGACTGGGCAGGTATTAACGCGCTCCAATATCGAGAACATTATTCGCTTCGCCCACAAGAATCATCTCTTCTTGCTCGCTGATGAAGTCTACCAGGATAATATATACGACAAAGACAGTGCATTCCATTCCGTCAAGAAGGTGATGACGGAAATGGGTGAGCCGTACTCGAAGATGGAGCTCGCGTCATTCATGTCTATCTCGAAAGGTACGTGACGACAATTTGAATCAGCGCGTGGATCTCATTGTAAAGCAAGGAGTCCTTAATCGAAACATTGTACGTTATATAGTATAGTATTTATTACCATTCAGCTATTGCCAAGAAGGGGACTTGGTTTACATTATATAAATCTTATCACCATCCACACATCCATATATTCATCCACTCCTTATATACTACGCCTTTTCCCGTTCCCTCTCCCTCGCTTAAACCTACTTTTATCCTACTATCACATTATTTACAGCCACAATAACCTCCTCTCTCCCCTTTTTCTCCTCTTTCTACCTTTAACCCCTTGTCTCATTATTCTTACTCTTTTCTTTCACTTTCTATCCTATCTCTACCATTTTTTCTTTTAACTTTTTCTCTTTCTTTCCACATCTTTTTTGGAATTTTACCTTTCACTTCATCTAATTCCTCATTCCATATCCTTTCTTTTCCTCCCTTTCCTTTCCCATCTAATTCCTTATCTAATTCCTCAAACCATTCCCTCCTTACCACATTGTACGTTATATAATGTAATGAGAAAATAAAACTTCGCGATCAAACTAAAATCGTTAATTCGGAAATTCAATTGAAACATTGATCGTTGAATAATTTCGAACTTCTATATGGTATTACGTTAATGTTAAGCTAAAGAAGATGTTGAAAAAAATCATTGTAATTTTAAATTTCATCGCTGAAATGTTTCCTTTACAGGCTACATGGGCGAGTGCGGTATCCGCGGTGGTTACGCCGAGATCATCAACATGGATCCGCAAGTAATGGCGGTCTTGCTGAAATCGATCTCCGCGATGCTGTGCCCCACCGTTCTCGGTCAGGTCGTGATGGACGTTGTGGTAAATCCGCCGCGACCGAACGAACCGTCGTATAAACAATTCCAAGAGGAAAAAGCCAAAACGCTGCGATCTCTCGCGGAGAGATCGCAACTTGTCGTTGACACGCTCAATAGTATTCCCGGATATAAAGTGAGTTACCTTTGAACTGGACTCAATAAAGCGTCCAACTACATCGAGTTTCACGATGCTGATATTTTTCAGGCGAACCCGGCGATGGGCGCGATGTACGTTTTTCCTCGCTTCGAAATACCCGCGAAAGCGATTGAGGCGGCGAAAGCAAAGGGCCAAGAGCCAGATATTTTCTATGCGTTCAAGCTATTGGAAACCACCGGAATCTGTGTAATCGCCGGCTCGGGTTTCGGCCAGAAACCGGGCACATATCACTTCAGAACCACTATCCTGCCGCAGAAGGACAAAATCAAAACGATGCTCGAGAGTTTGAAGCAGTTCCACCTCAAGTTCCTCGAGGAGTACAGTTAAATCAAATATTCGACGAAAAAAACGTGGATTGGAGGCATACGACAATGCGCTGTATGGGTATCCATGTGAGGACCAGTCTCTTATTCGAACATCACGAATGTGCAATATTTTTATTACGATCAAATACCCAAAGTTGAAGATCGTCACTTGGCGTACGCTACTTGTTATTGAATTGTATAGAAAGTATAATCAGGTTCTCTGACGTTATATGTATAAAATGTAAATCATCAGGCGACGTGTACGAATATGTGTAAATATCTCTAGTGTGTTGTTATCGTTATGCCAACGAGGGTTAATGAATATCGCGGTGGACGACCGTCAATAAAAAGAACAAAGCAAACATCACTTAGTTTCAGATTTACCGAGTGTCTTCAGCAACTCTGCAATAGCGAAAGCAATTTGTTTCTTGTAATACATACATGCTTATCACTAAGCCGCTATTTACAACATCTACAACTGTTCGAAACGATCAAAGATCAGCAGCGAGCCTTTCTATCTCGTCAACGAAGAACTGCATGTCAGCTTCAGTCAATCCCGAGTTCTGCAACACGAGCCTGAAGAAGTTTGGCATTTCTCTGAGCGGCTGATACGTCATCAGCATTGTTCCAGCGCGTACCATGCGTTCCTTGATCATCGGCGCAATCTGCAACCGTTTCATCGACTTGTTTAATGATCGAACATAGTCGAGCTTACTTCACTAGACACTTGAATATTTCAATCTTTAGATCCTTAACACGTTGCCTAATTCACATTGATTGACATAGACAATACGACATAAACAAACAACATGTCGTCATGACCGACATGTTGATTGTTTGATTTCAAGATACTATTTACGACTAAGAAAGTTACCTTGTGCATCGCTTGGTCCAGCTGTGGGCCTGTCAAGTTTCTCATCGACGGTGGAACATACCGGAAGCAGACGTTGGTGCACTCAGGCTCGGCGAGCAAGTGCCAGCCTTCGCGTTTTCTCACGAGATCCGTGAAGTAGCGCGACAGTGCGAACACACGATCCACGTGCGCCTCGAGTCCACGGGTGCCCTTCGCCTTCCACATGTACCAGAACTTAACCACGTCCGCCCGCCGACCGCACTGCACGTGTCGGTCTCCATAGTCATAGGACGCGTCGTAAAACTTATCGTTCTGGAAGAGATAGCTCGCGCCGCAACCGTGCGCTGACTGCAACAAGCCTGTGCAGAGTCGAATCTCGTTAATTAAAATACTATACAGACTAGAGACTAGAAACTACACAAATTTATATAAGCACAGTAATATAATAGAATTATATGCAATATTATTTTCTTTTGTTCGCCTTTCTGCACCGAAATCTGTTATCGAAAGTCGAACATTGCCTTATTCCAAACAATTCCGCGAGTTTCTTTCGTGTTTGCAATATTTCGTTATTGAAATTCGTAAAGAATATAATGTAAAACATGAGGATTATCCGTTGCTACTTTGACATATTTAATAAGAGATGCAACTAATTGAAATATATTATTAACTATAGTTAACCTTCGTGACGCAGTAACAAGGTGGAGCACTGCTGAGGTGCGGCGAGCAGCTTGTGAGGATTCCAGGTAATCGAGTCGGCGAGCTCAACGCCGTCCAAGAGATGACGATACGTCCTGGAGACGAGAGCACCTCCGCCCCAGGCAGCGTCCACGTGGAACCACAAGCTATACTTTCTGCAGACCTCGGCGATGTCCTTGAGCGGATCGAATGCGCCCATCACGGTGGTACCTGCCGTGCTGGATACCATCAACGGCGCGGCACCCTCCCCGATGGCACGGGCGATCTGCGCCTGCAGATCAGTCACTAACATTTTGCCCTTGGAATCAACCTTGACCATGTATACGTTGTCATAGCCGATACCCAGAAACGCGGCAAGCTTCTTCACGGAATAATGCGCGTCCTCCGATGTGAAGATCACCAACCGCGGCATCTGCGACAGTCCGGTTTGCTTCAGGTTGGGATACCTAGTCGAACAGATACATACATTAACATTTTACATATTAATTTTTCCTTGCAGAATCAACGAACAATTACTTATGATAGCGCGCCAAGTTAATGGCGTATCCGTTCGCCATAGAGCCACCCGGACAGAAAAGTCCCTCGCCGCTCTGCCAACCGATAATGTGGCGCATCTCCCGCAGTACGTCCTCTTCCATCAGAGAAAAGACCGGAGACACCTCGTAGGTGTAGACGGACGGGTTGAGAGCGTCGGTCAGCCATTGACCCAGCAACCCGTACGGGTCCAAACTGGAAAACAGCTGATTGACGAAATGCGGATGGCCCGTCTTCACGCTGTACTTGATGACATTGCGCGTCAGCGTCAACAACTCGTCGTGGCTGATTCCTTCGGCCGACAACGAGAGGTCAACAACAGATCGCAGGTCCGAGGGATTCACCCATTTTACCACGCGCTCCTCGCCGGAAGTAGACTGTGCGCAGACAAAACATTAATTAGCAAGGTGATTCAACACGTTCTCGCTCATGAAAACCGCTGAGGAAAACCGATGTGAGTATTTCTACGAATTAGTAATTCGATTAAGAGCCCCGAGTGTACCAGGATGACGAAATCAAATTGTCTGTATCTGACTCAAAGAATTATCTCGTGCACGACAGCGTTTTCTCGCTAGCGGTTTCTTTTTCCTTTTGTTTCTTTTGATTGAATATCTATAATTTGCAGCTATTTGCATAATAATGAGATCGATACTAGCAGTTTTGTTGCCGCGTCATTCGTAACATGATAGTACGAACACTACTTGACCGATACTTAGTACTATTACTAACACTACTTCACCGATACACCACAAGCGACATAATTACGCCGCATTCGTGATGAATGGAATTGATATTAGCATAAAAATGTGGTTGTGTGCTAAGACGCAAAAGGTATTCTTGATTCGAATAATTTACGCAATAATGGGAATCCTAACACCGTTAGTTACCCGCGATAGTAAAACCCAGCAGTGTTAGGTGTGTGTCTGTGCACACACACATATATATATATATGCACCATGCGTTTTTACGAGAGAACACATTTGTCGAGGACTTTTTATCCTAGATTACTCTCCATATTCTCCTTTACATTCTCTGTTACGAAATCGAGGATCTCTCCCTTTCTCTCCCCTCCCTCTTTCTCGGCGTAGTATCGCATTTGACATTAACGTAACAATGCGTAAATTCAAGGCTAGTTATCAGTTTGTGTGCAAAGTGGGTATTCATACGTACCATTCCTTTTTTGGAATAATCTTGCAAAGTTGTACCAGAAAAAAAAATATTAATTTTATCTTATTATATAGGGTGAGTTATCTAACGCTAAAATATCTCTGTTGTTTTATGAAAATTTGTGCAAGGAATTGTATAATTGGTTGACCACAATATTTATTCTTTTCGACATTGGAAGAAATGACTCACTCTATTAATATCTTTTCTTAAAGAATATTCCCAGATAAGATATGTAACAAAATGTTGCATAAGACGTTTTTTAGATATCTTTTCGACATCTTTTAGACATGCATGTTATCCGGGTTTTTATTTGTAATATAACAAAATAACGAACTGAACTCTTTATTTGATATTTTTTCTTTCTAGAGTTATTTCAAGAGGACTGACGGTGATGATTGTGCAAATACTTTCTTTGTCTATTTATCCGCGAGTGTCCACAATTGCGGGAATAATCTGGTTAAAGACTACCGACTCACTTGGAAAACCGCCTGCTGCAACACGAGCTCGAAGAAGTCCCTGAACAGCTTCTCGTGGATGTCCCGACGAGGCACACTACGGAAGTTCCGCTTCTCAGCTCCGTTGCGTTCCGGATCGCCGTCCACCATCGCCCCCGGAACGAGCGGAGACGCGGGATCCCGCGGTCCTCCGCTTAGCTTGTGCTGAGACGGCAAAGGACTCATTCTTCCGGACTCTATCCGCTCCAACGACTCGTTGAAGGTATCCTCGTTAGCGGGCATGGTTTGCGACGGTATGGACTTGCGACACCGACGACGGTTTCCTTTATACGTATTAATTCCCGCGGACCAAGGACGTCTCCCTCCAGTGCGCGCTTTTCCGCGTTTACGACGTGAACGACGATTCGATGATCGGGTTTCTCATATCTGCTTCTGGAAATACCCGGAAGAACTTCCGGGGATGGTTTTTTTCTTCGACTGTTATCGTCCAGGCGAGTCGCATACTTGGACATACTTTTTTGAGATTTTTAAAAAAAGGAAAAGGATTGATTTGTGTATGTGTATAAAAGATGAACTAGAAAACTAAACGCTAAATGCAGATAAAAGTGTGATAAATATCTGAGATTGAAAATCGATACGTATGATGCAAAAATTCGACATTTGTGTCGAATTACATACATTCGCAACTTTTTCCTCTTTATCAAGAACATACGTAAAAAAAATCTCAAGTGTGGGACAAATCCAAAATATTTGAAATATTTAAAATATTTATCAATAGATATTAAATATTTATCAATAGATATTAAAGCATGTGAAGCAATCTAAAATATTATAATATGATAAAATTGCTAGCAGTTTCTCCTACAAGACCTTTAAATTGTAAGAAGGAGAAATGTTTAAAATAAAGAGTTTCTTCAATTAAAATTCTTTAAAAAATTTATAGATATTTCTATAAACTTATACAGGATTTTGCAGAGAGAGCGTACATACACACACACACACACACACACACACACACACACACACACACACACACACACACACACACACACACACACACACACATATATATACATATATATATATATAATATATAAGATTTAAAATATATAAGTCATAATATATAAAATGTATAATAATATATGCTACACACCAAAAAAATATAATTTAATTGACTTTTCAGTTTAATAACCCTTGGTTAGAATCTATGCTTGTTTCATGGCAATAAATCATTGGGAAACAATTATGCAACAATCTCTCACGATCTCTTGCGACCATGACAGGGAAAAGTAGGATCGCGAAGAGCCTTCGAGTTAAGTGTTCCTCGTATCTCTCTCTCTTTTCATCCCGGATAGTACAGTATGTTGCATTCTTTGTAGCGTCAAACATACTGTCTCGTGAATACATTCTAACAAAGCTGTCACTTTTTATCAGGCTTTACAGCAAAGGCTACAAGATTCTCGCGACACGATTTTATCTGTCACGATACACCGTTTATAATCGAAGAATCTACTTTTAACGCTTGGATAAAATCATTCGTATTGAACTTCAGCTAGAAATCGTACTCGCGTTATATGTAAAACACAAGAAAAATTCGTTTTGCAACTGCAAAATACTGCGATAAAATCCTACATCTCCCGCCGCGCCGCAGCATCCGATAAAAAGTACTAACTTGGTAGAAACATTGTTACAGGAATAGATTAGACGCGCCGCGTGGAATATTCATAGAATGTCTCGCAGTAATATTAATACTTTCGCGTTTTTGTCAGAGGGCACGTCCTCGTTTCGCGCGTTGCGCTGCCAAGGCCATCCCCGATTCAATTATTAGTAAACTTGTAAAAGTCATATTAGTCCGGTAATGATATAGCAGAGATTTTATACCGTTGTCTCTCTCCTACTTACACCGGGAAAAAGAACATGAAACGAGGTTTTTGCTCGCGAGCACATGAAAACTGTTCGCATATTACGCATACTACGCTATTCTGTTCACATATTGCACGCGTATATAGAGCGTGCTGAAACTGCCGGATGTCGATGTCACCGTAGATTTTTTGGCCGATTTAATATTGAACTTTTTCTTCAACGAAATGTCAAGACGCAATTCAGAATATTTGAGTAATTAACGATTAAAACCAAGCCTCTTGTGCAAATTAATCGAGGAAGGAAATAGATGATAAACTCGATTCTTTTCAGTCGAATAAATTCGAAAAGTAAAGCTCAATAAAATTTCAATTTAAAAGTTGATTGAAGGATAGTATAATATTGAAAACTGCAGAGATGCGATCTTCCTGTGTATTCTGTTGTTGGCCAAAAAAATTGTAATCAAAACTATATCTGGTAGATTTAGAATATTCTATATATAAACTTGTTCGCTTTTCACTATACTTTTTGCGTTGTAATTATTTCTTTCTATATGAAAGAAAGGAAATATTAATATACATTTTACTTAAAATATAGCAAGTGCACAAAGTGAACAGACATTTAATCAATCACTGAGTGAACGCAAGGATAACTCTGCATCCACGTGAAAGATACAAATAAGGAAGGTTTAATGTAGTGTTAATTAAGCGGATAATACCAGAAGCATCGAATTTCCCCTTAGATTAGCAGCGCATTAGAAGGAAAATCCACTTTCTGTTGGGGCAATCGGTGATGTCATTGTTTGACGTCAATGGCTGACGATAACTATTCATGTAGTCATTCGCGCAACGTCAAAATGTAGACTTGCCTGGTTTTGGAATAACGGTTTCGATTCCATTCTTCGATGTCAGGTTGTTACGGGAAAGATTCGAATTAGAAAACGAAATTACATAGTTATAAGATAATTTTTATAAATTAGTACAATTTATTTTTTATTATTTCATAAACAGCCTTTAGATCTTTGATGTCACTCCTAAGGTTCCTGGCCGCGGCCATCTTGACTTATGACATCAGAAAAGCGAGGAAATGCATGTCCAAAATTTTGAAAAGTATTTCGAAATAAAAAGACATTCAAAAAATGACATTTGCAGTCGATTAAGCACATTTCAGACACTTTCCTTTTGCTCTAAGAATCAATAAATAATCGTAAAATTAACGTGACAAAATAATGTAGGTTAGAAAGGCAGGTTGGATGACATATTAATTTAAAAAATAGGAAAAAGGCAATTCGAGTTCAAGCATAGGACTAATAATGCTATGTATCATATGGGTAAAACCTTCCTTTTGTTAGGAAATCGTGTAATATTTATTGAACATGAATAATCAATATAAATAATCAGACGCTTTTTAGAAATAATTTAACAAATATTGCTTATTCTTGCACTAATAAATTATCAGGATTAATTCGTGTGCATAAAGACAGGTTGCCTCTTGGTTCCCATAATAACGTTGTATATAGGTTGCAATGCAGTGGTTGTGAGGCGTCATATGTTGGTCAAACTAGTAGAAGACTCTCTACACATATTGCCGAACATGGGAGAATTCCTAGGAGTTCTACGGTGGAGTTAACGGCCATACAGGAACACCGTTTGAGGAAGAACCATGATTTCGATTGGGATCATGCCAAAGTTTTACATGAGGAACGTTTTTACTTGAAACGCCTGATTTCAGAAATGATTTTCATCAAATTTCAAAAGCATAGTCTTAACTCACAAAAGAACACTGAATATTTAGGCAGCAGCTACTGCGGCTTGTTATGAAAATAAATTTTTTTTTGGTTTCCTTCTCTTCCACGAGTCGTTGCCGCAATGTTACTGCTCGGTTATATAAATATGTAATTATTTGTAATTCTTAGACGTGGCGATGTTATCGTTGACAGGATCGTTTTTCTTTTAGCTGACCTCAACAAAGGTATTTTACATTTTCTGTTTTATTTATTTATTATATTTCAATTTTACTTACTTTTATTTTATTTTATGCTTTTTTATAGTTATGACGGCTACTTCTTAATATTTTAATCTGACTTAATATTATTTCGGTAACGGTCTTGTCAGCTTTAATATTGCGATTAACATTCATGTCATTTTAATCAGGTCTTTAATTAATTGTTAATGCGTTCGTATTGTAATCCTTGAGTTTTTATTATCACTAAAGAGGGTTCATGATTGAGCCGAAACGTTTGATTATTTATATTGATTATTCATGTTCAATAAATATTTCCTAACACAAGGAAGGTTTTACCCATATGGTACATAACACTACCCAGATAGCACAGAAGTTTCAAAAAGTTTTCTGAAGAAGAAATGTTTCTGAAACATTGCATCTTTCTGAGATCTTTCTGAAATCTTTTTGAAACTTCTGTGCTATCTGGGTATTAGTCCTGTGCTTGAACTCGAATTGCCCTTTTTCCTATTTTTTGATTGATATATTCGTTTGTGAATTCTTATTTCTTTCTCTAAACATATTAATTTTACGGTTATTATTTGATTGTTAGAGTTTTACTCTTAAAAAAAAGATGGAAGGAAACTAAAAAAAAGTGTCCATAGGGTAATTTAAATACCTAATCGCGTACGCGCGATTATAAGTGTATATATTTTTTTTAAATTTTGACCTTTGTAAATCTACTTTGAATTTTAAACATGTACATTTCCTCGTTTCTAATGTCTAAAATTAAGACAGCCGCGGCGAGTAGTCACGAAACTTAAAGTGGAACTTTATGAGAAAATTTCAAACCTTCTCTCACAATGGTTCTGTGGATTTTGCTTTAGTTCCGCTTGATTGCTACAAATTTTTCTCTCGTCGCGTCTCTCTGCAATAGTCGAGTGTTGCAGTACATATATCGATAAGCTGAGAATTGCCCTTCCTCAATTTGCAAAATTATATATATGATATACTTTGCATATATGATATGCTGATATGCTTTGCGGATAAAAGAAATTACATGCAAATTGGATGTGAGAAAATTATAAGATAATAATACATACAAGAACATAAAAGTTATCAACATGCGGAAATCTAGTAATTTAATATGAATGGGGCGTGATAAAAAAGACAAGGTAACCAATCAATATCTCATGTTACATATTCAATATTTTGATTACCTCTGGGAAAATGAATCGTTACTTCATTCTCGTCATTTTCTTCTGCACGATACATTCCAATAAGCAAGGAACATTAAATTAACGTTTTAGAAACATTGATTTCATGTGCATTGTTTGGACATTTTTTAATAATATCGCATTTATATTTTTCATATGTTATTTTGCGATATAATTTTTCTGAATGTTGTTTAAACGTTTTAAAAACATTACAAAAAATATATATATTTTAATTTAATATTTAATTTAATAAAATATATATATTTTAAATAATATATTTTTCAAATGTTACTTTAACATTTATTTGAGATCAATGCAACATCTTAAAAATATTTCTGACGATTAAAACGTTATGGCAACCCTATTTCAACATTATTGAAACTTCCAAATCGCGGTCAAAGTATGTTCATAATAATGTTCGATACAGTATTAAACATTACATATTTGACAATATTACAGGTTCTTGAATATCATTGTAATAACGTTATATTAATGATTTCTTGCTTACTGGGATACTAGTCCGCACACGCGAAAATGAACGGGACTCGACCGATTGTCCAATCGTGCTAAAAAAGCTATCAACATGGAAATTAATCCAGATAGCACAGAGAATTCAAGAAGAATTCAGTCGTATGTCACCAATTCTGAGTTTATTTTTAAATGTGAGAAGAAATTCTTTTCACTGAACTGAATTCTACAGAATTCTTTTTGCATCTGAAAATGAACTCAGAATTGATGACATACGACTGAATTCGTTTTGATTTTTTTTTTAATCATCTGTGCTATCTGGGAATTTTTCTCTTTCTCAATATATGCCAAGCCAGAAATGATTTGTTGATCGATGTCGAAACGATGTCGAATCGACATCGAAATCGTGAAATCGATGTCGATTCGACATCGTTTCGACATCGATTGACGAATTATTTCTGGCGGAATTCCCACAAAAACGTACGTCGAATTCACGTCGAATCCACGTAGAGTTCACGTGGAATCCACGAAATCACGTGGATTCCACGTGGATGTAACATGTATGTTTTTGTGGGGGTGGCTTCTCCCTCAATATCATTCAACGTTAAAAGATGTGTATTATGTTAATTTGGCAGTGCCATTCTCCGATTAATAGATGACCCTTGATGTAATGATGTGCATTCGAGTAAGATTTTTTCTGCCACCATTTACGCACACAGACCTATTCGTCTATCCGTACGATGGCAATCGTCACATGAATAGATAGAGTGATTGTGTGCGTAAGTGGAGGAAGGAAATGTTCCCTTGCTGGCGCTTGAATGCACATATCACCGCCTTGATATTCCTTAGAAATAAGTTCAAAGATATTTTCCAAAAAATCACAGATCACACGTCTGAACAATTCGAACGCGTCCTTAAGCCAATATCATACTATCGATTACTTACGACTTCGTCTGCGCGTTCGCGCTTGCGTTTATAATTGTCGCTTAACCAATCCAATAGCTAGCAGCTTCTTTTCGATTGGTCGAAAAACACGTAAAATACGTAAAGAAAACACGCTTGAAGATTTTCGTAAGACGAAAACACGTAAAATTTTTCTTAACTAAACCTCAACTATTACAGGTGCGCGCTACGCGCACGCTATTTAGCATCTTTATCATTACAATCTTATTATCCTTATCATTACAATGTGACCTTTTAAATTACCTTATAAAATTATCTTATTCTTATGGCTCCTGCACACAAGACGCGGTAATGCTTGCCGCGCGGCGCAAGTCTGCGCGACAGCCAATCAATATGCTGCTTTCCGTAATAACCTTCTAGCTCTTACGGAAAAACAACATATTGATTGGCTGTCGCGCAGACTTGCGCCGCGCGGCAAGCATTACCGCGTTTTGTGTGCAGAAGCCATAAGAATAAGGTAATTTTATAAGGTTGTTTAAAAGGTCATATTGTAATGATAAAGATGTTAAATAGCGCGCGCCTGTAATGTTTTAGTTGAGGAAAATTTTACGTGTTTTCGCTGTTCACGTGTTTTCGCTGTGTACAGAAGTTACCCTTGCTTGTCTAAAAGATATCTAAAAGATATCTTACGCAACATTTACATAAGACGTCTTTTAGATATCTTTTCGACATTTTTTAGATATGTTTACTGGCTAGCATCTGTACACAGGAACAGCGAAAACACGTAAAATTTTCCTCAACTAAAACATTACAGGCGCGCGCTATTTAGCATCTTTATCATTACAATATGACCTTTTAAACTACCTTATAAAATTACTTTATTCTTATGGCTCCTGCATACAAAACGCGGTAATGCTTGCCGCACGGCGGAAGTTTGCGCGACAGCCAATCAATATGTTGTTTTTCCGTAAGAGCTAGAAGGTTATTACGGAAAGCAGCATATTGATTGGCTGTCGCGTGAATTTCCGCCGCGCGGCAAGCATTACCGCGTCTTGTGTGCAGGAGCCATAAGAATAAGATAATTTTATAAGGTAATTTAAAAGGTCACAATGTAATGATAAAGATGCTGGGTATTACCCTTATTTTTGCCTAAATAATACGCTTCTCTTTTTGTTTGTCCTTTCGTTTTCCTCTTTTTCCTCCCCGATGAAAAATTTTTCATGCAAAATTATGTATGAAATTTGCCCATACATAATTATGTATAATTATATATAATCATATAAAATTATATATAATTATACACAATTATGTATAACAATATGTATAATTACATATAAATCTATGTGTAATTATGTAAAATTATATATAAATTTATATATATAATTATACATAGTTATGTATAATTACATATATAAGTAGAATGTATGAACATAAATGGACAAATTTGATACATAATAATATATAATTATGTATAATTATATATAATTTTATATAATTTTATATAATTATATATGAAAAATTTTTCATTGGGTTGTTACGTCCACGATAGATAACTATATAGGGAAATTTGAAAGTAGTGAAATCAGTGACTTACGTGGACGGTCAACAGAGTGATGGCTCCGCTTTTGGGTCACTCTGCTTTTCACCGAGTTTACCCTGGTCT